TGGCATTCGGGACAAAACTGTTCTTGTGTTCAGTTGTTCTGGTGTGCAGTTGTTCTGGTGTGCAGCTCTATAGCGTTGTTTTGAGGGTAGGAGTTGAAACAGTTTATGCCCAGGATGCGAGGGGTCTGTAAATATTTTCACAGCCCTCTTTTTGACTCGTGCAGTATACAGGTCCTCAATGGAAGGCAGGTTGGTAGCAATTGTTTTTTCTGCAGTTGTAATTATCCTCTGAAGTCTTTATCTGTCTTGTTGGGTTGCAGAACCCAACCAGAGAGTTCTAGAGGTGCAGATGACAGACTCAATAATTCCTCTGTAGAACTAAATCAGCAGCTTTTTGGGCAGTTTGAGCTTTTTGAGTTGGCGCAAAAAGAACATTCTTTGTGCTTTTTTGATGATGTTTTTGATGTTGGGTGTCCATATCAAATCGGCAGTGGCATCTTTGATGGCCAATTGTAAATATATAATACGTAGTCTTAAAAATTGAACTATAAACAGATACATGTACATTATGTACATGCACACACATGGATTGCTTATTTAAATAAATTCAGTGACTCTTCTGATCATTAACACAAAGGTAGATAAATACTTTTGCACAAAGCATCATTGAATTTAAATTATTTTAATGCCATAAAATTATTTTACTCATAAAATCACCCTGCTAAATTACTTGGTTACTGAATATGTCAGCCAATTCTATCACGTACATGTGATACCTTAGTGTATTGTACAAGAACATTGAATGTGACAGAAAGCTTTCTAGAATTATTTAATGCATTTGATGACCTCTTGGCATTTGCTTTATGGCAGAATGACATAAATTGTGATAAAAACTTTATAGATAGTTTGAACAAACAAATGGATACAATTTGCAACATTTGAGAATATTCCAAAAACCTATCAAAAGGCAAAATAGCTCCAAGCTGAAAGGTTCAGTAACCGCCAAGCCTATAAATTAAATAATCTTTTTCAAACCCGAAACAAATTTTGCCTTAGGGCTCATGTTTGCCTGGACTAAGTCCAAACAATGACAATCAGGTTTTTCTCTTACAAGCTCCTTTACAGTAATCTGAAAGCTTTTATTCCCCATTGAATTATTGCAAAATTACTATAATTGGGACCAAGCTATCATTCATTCTGCAGAGAATGAATTAATGGATGCTTAACCATTTATTAGTGTTGATTGACTGGAGACATAATCTTTTTTTAAAAAAAACCCAACAACCTACTCATGTAGAAAGAAACGAAAATGTATTTTCAAAGGGAAAAAAATGTTCCACCCTTCTAAAACACTAGCCTAACCTTTCAAACAATCACGTTCTATTATTTGACTTTAACTTCCATTCCATTTGCCCCAACTGCCATATTCTGGGGCTGAGATCTCTTATGCTGATTGCTTTGTATATGAATTGTTTAAATGACAAACTAAGCATTTAATAAGTAGTTCTGTATTAAGCTGCTAAGTAACCTTGAGCCCTTTGTTGAAATATATCTGAGAGTTTTACATGATGTTGACATATAGAGAGGCTTATTACAGAAAGAGGTAATGTGGCAACCATTTAGAAAATAATACAGTAAGGCATGAGAAAGAAACTCAAGACTGCCCCACTTTGACCCTCTTTGGTATTAGAAGGTAAACAGGAGAAACATGATTAGAGTTTCAAAATTCTGTTTGTACAGCCTATATTAATAACGCAAAGTTCTAATATGTTGTATATGTCTGTTTCCTGACCTGGTCTACCTCAAGAGCCTTCCCTTGCAGCTTTAATCTCCAGTGGGAGATAAAATCTTCCAACCATATGCTTACTTCAGATATACTCATAAATCAATTCCCCAGGAAAGGAAATGCAGAGTCGTATAAATAATATGCACAATAGCTAAAGTTAAGCTTTTCAGGGTGAGCAACCTTTTGATGGTTCAAGGCACATTTAACACATCGGGGAAAGCTGAGGACCACAAAGTATGTACCGCCAGATGATTCAAGTTGATAGTGATGTTTGAGAGGAGAGGTTGTTGGGAAAACTTATAAAAATAAGCCTTTTGGGACTTTTATCGCAGTTGTCATGTGTTTTCCTCCTTAGGATATGAGAAACAGTATGGTCGGTTTCAGCAATCATAATCAAGGGAGCTCAAAGGCCTACGAAACAAGGTCCTTGGATCCTGCATGTGGGCCCAAGGACTTCAGATTGTCCGTACCCTGCCTTAAATCAACATTGCACGAAACTTTAAGAACAAATCGATAGTATGAATGAAGGGACTTGGCTTTTTCCCCTGTATTGTAGTTGGTCAACCAGACTCTATCTGCAGCTGGGTTCCAACAAGTGGTGGTAAATTCAGCAATGTTGGGGAATGACTGGAGAAAGACTGCAAGGAAGAGAGGTGCGAGAAAGAGAAAGTTTGAATTACAGATTGATGGACAAATTATTTTGATCCAGAGCTTTTCACATGTGCCAATTTATACAAGGATCCATCCCATTTCTGCAGCGGTCTTTGTTTCTCTTAAATTTGTACAAATACACTGAACTTGTAGGGAACCTGCTTTCTCTCAAAGTACATATTTCGAAAAGTATTTTGAAGTACTTTTGTTTAGCCAAGAATTACACTGCGTGGCATATGATACTAAACTATTTTTATGAGATGTGGGAATTGGATTAGGTCATACGTTACTTTGCAAAGTATAAGGATCTATTAGTTTCACCTATCTGCATGCCTCTTTTCAATTTAAAAATGACAGGGGTTTTATATAAAGACTGCAACAGATGTAGTCCTTGATCTCAACTGAAAAGGAATCATAACAGGAGCAGAATCCTCATGTGCCTCGGTGAAGAACGTAACCGTGGTTTTGGATCAGAGGCAAAGATGGATCTGCAAAAATACCAAAAATGAATGAGTGAATGAATGAATGAATGAATAAATGAATTGCATAATGGCCTCTGTAGAACTCAGTTCTGGGAAAAGAATTGCCCAGGGGAAATACAAAGGCTTTTACTGAATTTCTATGAAGCAGAATACTCATTTATGATCTAATTATGATCTAATTTCCTTGGCATAATAATTAATCTGGCAGTATTACAATCATACAATTCAAATTTGTTTTGGACTCTATCCAATATTTTTATGATGTAATTTACTTTTTATCCATGTTTCAAGGTGCAACTTTCCCAAATATCAACATTAATCTAGATTTTTGTAGTTGTGGAATTTAGGACTGGTTCACGTAATATTTCAGATGCAAGCCTTTACCTGCTCTTGAAACATCTAGAATAGTTATGTGCTGGGCAGTGGAAGTTTAATTCTTAAAATCATGCTCCTATGTAGGTTTCAAAAGAAAACAATCTCTGGGTTTGTGTGTGACCTGAAAATGGCAACTGAATCGTTTTTGTTTTTTTAAAAAATCATTGTATCATTCTTTGAATCCATTTCATTCAATTAATAGATGCATATTTAAATTATATTGATAATTAATTGTTTCTACTCTCAATCACATGTTAGTCTTAAGTAGAGCAAAATGATTTAAAATAATCAAAGAATGCCTAGGATTCACCTTTGATTCTGGCCATTATTTCCTATTAAAATAATTAAACTTTTCAGCTTTAAAAATTATTGTATTATTTAAATATGTCACATCATTCTTATGGGTGCTTTATAATAGCCAGAATGTGTAAATTGTGATGGGAGGGGGAGGGAGAGAGAAAAGTCAGATATTTTTGCAAATGTCCAGGCTTAAGGCAAGGGTCTCAAAACATTGTGCATTCTTCATTTCCCATTGGGCAGCAAAGAGAATGTTTTGAACTAAGATAGAGTTGAGATAAAATTAAATGGATTTCATGTTTTGTATTTGTCAATTGTATCTGAAAGCAGTAAAACCTCTTTCAGGAGGGTTACTCAGTTGGAACTTTTGTGTACAGAAACTATAACAGTGTTGCTGTCGATGATGGATGTAATTTTAAAAGCAGCTTTGACAAGCACATTACTTCTCTTCTTGCACAAAATCACCCATGCATACACTCCATGCCTGACTGCCAATTTTCCAATGCATGTTTTGTCTACTTATGGAAAAAATATGAATGAAAGATACAATAAATCCAGTTGGGAAATTATAATCATTTCATCTTTAGAGATTTTTTAAACTGTTGCACAAAACTCTATAATTGACATGATTTTTTGTAATGTTCTTTTGGAACAGCAAGTTTTAAAGAGAGCTACAATACTGGATGAACTAGAAAGAGGAACAGCAATCCTATACCAAACACCAAAGAAGTATTTTCTCTGGGAACTATCAGATAAAGAAGAGTAGGCTATTGTTCAAACAACTAGAGCCAGTGATATGAACAATATGTTAATAGGAATAGGATATTCTCTGATAGTCCAGCAGTCTTAGTATCTCAAATGAAGCTCTTGCTCCTATCACACTCCCTGTAAAAGGAAAGGATGGGATAGCTGATGAGAATAATTACATATTACCCCTTCAAGCCCTTCAAAATATAGCAGTGCACAGGCAACCTCCGGGTGAATGGACATTGATCTTCAGAAATCCACAACCAATATGTCCATTAATTGGTATTTTGGAAGTAGAATAAATTTCCCAGCTTGAGAAACAATGCTGTGAAATCCTGGAGAGTTTAGTTTTTAGTTTAATTTTATTTGATTTGTATACCGCCCTATTCCCGAAGGACTCAGGGCGGTGAACAGCCATAGGATAAGAAACATAAATACAAAATTTAATACTGAATAAAATTGAATTAAACAATTTGGCCGAAGACAGATTTAAAACACCCCAATAAATTAAAAACAAATTAAAATTTATGTTTTAAAAAGGGGGGAAAGGAAACAGTTAGGCCAGGCCAGCCTGATGGAATAAAAAGGTCTTGAGAGCACGGCGGAAGGTGCGTAGATCCGGGATCCTCCGTATCTCCGGGGGGGAGCTCATTCCAGATAATAGGTGCCCCCACAGAGAAGGCTCTCCCCCTGGGGGCCGCCAGTCAACATTGTTTGGCCAATGGCATCCGGAGGAGCCCCTCTCTATGAGAGCGTACCGGCCGGTGGGAGGCTACTGATGGCAGCAGGCGATCCCGTAAGTAACGAGGTCCTAAGCCATGGAGCCATGGAGAAAAGGTAGAATACCAATTAACTAATGAACAAACATAATTTTCATTTCTATTTAACTAAATGTTTACTATTGGAATACACAAGCTAGCTCAAACTGTCTTCATGTGTGTGCATACCCTGGCAATTTAAGCATCTTCCACTTTCTGCCTGAATGGACAGCAACAGGAAATTCTTCACTTTTCCTGAACTGTTGCAGTCTAAAGTGTTACAGCAGCAAATCTTTGCTATTCCTCCCCAAATCATTCTATTATGCATTATCTAATTAAGATTCATCATCCTCATATTATTTTTTAAATCTTCAGATAAAAGGTTCAAAATGTGCTTTTCTTTCTTTTTAAAAACATCTTACTCACATTAGTTCCAGCAGAAGTCCATATCTTTATATCATACATCATACAGTACATGTATTATATACACATACTTAGCCATTAGGGTATTCTTTTTTGGAGGCAGAAACATTATCCTGAAGTGCAGGAAGGGAGTAAAAAATAGCAAGTCAAAAAATTAGAGACATGAGATAAACGAAGAAACTTTATCTAAATTTAACTTATTCCAACACCACTTGAAATGCCTTTCCATACTTTTCTACTTGCCATCCTTGTGTTTCCAGTATCAGGACACTTAATATATTGTCTTTTATTCTTCAAACTTTTACCTTTGTTTTTTGTAGGATCTCATAACTTGATCTCACTGGAACTTTTCTACCTAATTTGAACCCACCAAGACCTTCTTCTTAAGCCATCCATTATTCCTTGATGTATTTATTTGGTGATTCAGTCCTCATTCATGTTCTCCAAATGTTCTCCATCCTGGTCATTCAATTGCAAATGTAAAGTTCAATGTCACATGACCACATCACTTAACAATGGCAGTTCCAGCAGTTCTGGTTGCTGCCATTAAACAAGGACTACACAGGACCTCATGTGAGCACAACTTCTGGTCAGCTTTCCCATTGACTTTGATTGTGGGAAGCCAGCAGCAGCATTGGAAATTGCAATCATGTGACCATGTCTTGCAGCAATGTTATAATTATGAGTTAGGTGCTAAGTGCCTGAATCGCAATCATATAGCCAGAGGGACACAGCAACAGGTGGAATTCTGAAGACCAGTCCTAACCCTCCTCAATCAGTCCCATCATAAGTTTTAATGGCCACTGAATGATTTGTTGTAACCCAAGGACCACTTTTAATTAGTTTCCACCATAAACCATGATTTTTTTCTGGATTTATTGACATACCCCAATTCTCACTCCTATATAAGAATGTGGACATAAACTTGCTCTTGTACACAGCTAGATTTCCTTCTTTTGACAAACATCATCTACTTTCTCTTTTTTGCTATTTGTGCCAAAAAACACCTTCTTTGGTCTTGGATTTTACCATTTATCTAATGTTCATGTTTTCAGCCAACAGCATGATGTTATCTACATAGAAAAGTACATGTATATTCATGCTCTCCACTAACGTATCTTTAATGTCACTACAAGCATTCCTTAGGCATCCATCCATAAATACAGTATATTAAACAATCAAAAGAACATTACACTTCCTTGACTTATTCTGATCTCAGTGTAAACCTTTTGCCAAGTATTCCATTGATTCTCCTGCATATATTACTTTTATTATATGTTCCTCTTCACTGCCTTTTTCAACAATCCCTTACATATTTGCACACAAAAACTATAACACAATACATTCACTTTGTCATACACACACACACACACACACACACACACTTTTCTGCAAGGGAATCTGGCTTTTTTCCTTTTGGCAACAGCAGAAGCTATTGCTCTGCAGATATCTGATATGGAGATATCTAAAATATTCCTAGGTTGTCATATGATTCATAAATAAATTAATAAATAAATCATGCAACATCTAGAAGCTCCCACAATTGCATTCAATTTCCCAACTCTGCTAGGCAACAACATTATTGAAAAAGGTCAGAGTAACTGGGTTCCTATGACATGGGAGGAAGAAGTAGCTGTGTTTGCCACCCAATCTTAAAACCTGCAGTTTATTAAGGGGGCAAGGGTTGACTAATAAAAACAACAGAACCTGTAACACATTTTCCCTTCATATATCACTGAGGTACATTTATGAGTAGCACATGATATGGCAAGCACCATGTAAAGTTACAAATCGATAGCTAGATAGAGGGTGGTGGCTGACTTGCAATCCTATAATTCTGATGAAAGAACGAGATGACTACCTGGAAATTATTTGGGTAGAAGAAGAGTTTCTTGTTTTTTTTAGACAACACCTTCCAGTTGGAATTTCTCCACTGAATCATTATCATTAGAGGAAATGTTGAGTCATGGGCCTGGGAATAAGAAGAAAAGCTTCAGCTTAGCATGTGAATAGCAATTAGAAATAGTTGACCTCAAAAATACCGCATGAATTTTGTTTTTGCATTGAGCCCAGGCTATTCAAGAACAGATGAAAAGAAATTAAGGAGACTGGGCAGGTTATGGTAACAAAGCAATGGGAACCAAATATTATTGGGGGAGAAAATATTGTAAGAGGAAGGTCGTATTAGTCTATAACCGTGATGGCGAACCTATGGCACGCGTGCCACAGGTGGCACGTGTAGCCATATCAGTGGGAACACCAGTTCAACTCTGGCGCGCATGCGCACATTGGCCAGCTGATTTTCGGGCCTTCTGGGCCCACCAGAACTAGGGAAACAGGCTGTTTCCTGCCTCCGGAGGGCTTGGGGGGTGGGAAAGGCCTGTTTTTCTTTCTTACCTGCCTCCTGATCCTCTCTGTGTATCTGTGGAGGGCGAAAACAGCCTTTCCCATTCCCTCGGAGGCCCTCTGGAGACCTGAAAGGGCCCATTACCCAACTTCCGGTGGGACAGGAAGTGACGTTTTTTGCTGTACCCAGCCTCCAGAGACTCCTAGAGAGGCTCTGGAGGCTGGGGACAGCAAAAAAAGGGCCTACTGGGCCATCACATGGCAGAAGCAGAAGGGGAGGTTGGGTGCACATGCACAGGGCAGAGCACATAGAATTATGGGTGTGGGCACGCGCATGTGCAAACCTCCCCAGCCCCCCCCCCTCCTGGCACACAATGGCAAAAAGGTTAGCCATCACTGGTCTATAATGTCAGAAACCTAACATTGTCTGGTAGCATTTTTCTGAGTAACAAATTTTATTAAAAGATATCAATTTTCAAGAGCTGTAGCTCACCTTGTCAGAGGGCATAGACTAGCTAGACAGATATAGGATTTAAATTGGGTGAGGTGGGGGGAGAACGGACGGGAAGACAGGTTGTTTGTGTAGGTGCAGATTGCAGGTAAAACAGATTATAAACACCTTATCAATTAACAATTGTAATATGTTAAAACCCCATTGTGTTTGTGAACTTCTAAGACTGCCTCTAATCTTTTGATGTATGTGAATTCAACATTTTCCCATTCAGTGGTGGAGTTTTAAAAACCCATTTTACCAAAAGAGATCTGATATAGAGTGTCCTGGGAAGTTAAAATGCTCTGACATTACTTTGTCCTTATTTTGAGCCCTGATGTCAAAATTGTATTTATTCATTCTTTTGGGCAAAGGTTGTTCTGTTTCATCATACGTAGAATCTAGAAGGGCATTGCTGGCAGATGATGGCATATCTAATATTGGACAACAATCACAGTTAGATTGCGGGATGGAATATATCACCTGGGCCATCCAAATGATGCTGTGGACATGCTATCTTGGTGTCTGATGGTGGCTTAGATGGACCAAAAAGGCTTCAACTCAACCCTAGCAAAACTGAATGGTTTGGGTTCTAGGGCCTCCTAGTTCTGTGGAGTCAACTTCTTATTCTGGATGGGTGGTACTGCCCAATCAGAACTGGCGTACAAGGAGTTCCACCTTGACTTGTAGCTCCTGTTCAAGGAGCAGATAGTGGCAATGACTAGGAGATCTTTTGCATAGCTTTGTGTTGTGACTGGGACTGAAAGGCTCTGCCCATAATCACCCATGTCTTAGTCACCTCCTGATGGACTATAGTAGTGGGTTCTATATGATACAAAATATAGAACAGACAGCTATGGATTTCTCGATCTATGCATACTATATCTCTATTTGGAAAAACTGTATTGGTTATCAATATGCCTCTGGGTTCAATGACAGGTGCTGGTGATTGCCTATAAAGTTTTCCATGGCATGGGGACAGGTTATTTGTGGGAACACCTCTCCCCAATCAGATCTGGCAGGAGAAGAATATTATGGATCCCATCTGTTAAAGAGTGCCATCTAGCAGGATTCTTTGTATTGCCATGTCATTCCCTAAAAGATCAGATTGTCTTGGACCCTGTTGCCTTTTACAAAGACCAGAAGATAAAGCTGTGATCCAAGGCTTGGGGTCTGTTGGAGCTTATGAATGAAGTTTAATGAAAGACCAATAGCACTTAGACTTATATACCGCTTCATAGTGCTTTACATCCCTCTCTAAGTGGTTTACAGAATCAGGAACAATCTAGGTCATTTTACTGACCTTAGAAGGATGAAAGGTTAAGTCAACCTTGAGCAGGTGTGAATTGAACTGCTGGCAGTCTACAGAATTAGCCTGCAATACTGTATTCCAACCACTACACCAACACAGCTCAAAATGTTTCTTATTGCATTTATATGGTATAGGGATTTTGTTGTGGTTCTTTTAATCTTGGCTAGTGAATGCCTATTTTATATTTTGGGTTGGCTTTTTGCTGGTTTTTAAAAATCTTGTTAACCCAGAGTCATTTACTTCAGATGGCCAGCCATATAAATTTGAGTTAAATACATGCATTAAAGATGCAATTTGGGAGTAAGTTCCAGTAAATTTAAAAAGGCTTAGTTTGGTTATAGTTGTATACATTTCAATTACATTTCAAATACAACTGTTAATCCCTTAACAGTTGGGAGTAAATGGCAAATTTGGTCTGGGCTCAGAAGCAGGGTTAAAACACAGTTACCATTTGAAGAGTAGATCACTAGCAAATTAAAGAGCTATAGGCTATGCTAGAATGCCAAGAAATATCCCGGAAGGCAGCAGTTGTAAATCACTTCTGAACCATCACCAAAAAAAAGCAACATGAACAAGAGAAAAGAAGGAAGCTGCCGTCAAGGGAGGCTACTGAAGGAGGCTTCTTCTAGATAACTGCTTTCTAGCTATATCCCCAGATATTTTAAATATGTCTTGTTATCTTTTTTCTATTTTATTTTTATTTTTGTAAATAATATGCATAGTGTACTGCATCCCAAATCAATAAGAAAGTTGCCTTTAAAAAGTAAGTAATAAAAATAAGGATGACTACCAGTGGAAAATGTGGTTCAAAAACATGCAAACACTGAGAATTTTATGTATTACTATGCTCCACAAACCACAAAACCCTTTTTTTTAAAAAAAGAAATCTCTTTATTTCTCTCCATATGGAAAAACTGATGAGACAAAGAATACGGGGCATATTTTCTGCTAGAGTGATGAGGATGTGAAAAGTCATAGGTGCTCCATTACTTTTTGATTCTCCTTTACACTCCACATTTTACAAACGATTCAGACAAAGCAGAATAAATTCAAAGAAAGGGAATGGAGGAGATTAGGGGAATTAATTAAATTTTATGAAAAATGAGTGAAGGAATAGGAAACGTTTAGCTTTGAGAAGAAAATATTAAGAGTAACTTGGTAGCATTCTTCCAATATTTGAAAGGTTGCCATGCAGTGAAAGTCAAGGTATGTTTTTTTTTTTTTAATTTGATTTATATGCCGCCCTTCTCCGAAGACTCAGGGCGGCTTACAATGTGCTCAGCAATAATGTTCTCCATTATTCCAGAAAAATTGACTAACATGAAAAAGCATTCAACTAATATATACAGTTGTATTATGTTGACTCAGTTGTTTTCATAGTAAAGTGTGAAGATCGCCTATCCTGCACAACAGGGGTGTCAAACTCAATTTCATCGAAGGCCACATCAAGGTGTTTGACCTTGGGGGTTGGGGTGGGCCTGGCCAGCTTGACGTCACTCATGTTGGGGCATCTGTGGTGGCCCGAGCGCTCTGCCAGCAAAAATAGCCTCCCAAGCTCCATTTTCACTAGCAAAGGAACTGCAGGCCAGTCCTTTGCTGTTTTCAGGGTTGTCCCTGGAAACAGTGGGCCAGATCTAAGCACCCCACGGGCCAGATCCAGCCCGCAGGCCTTGAGTTTGACACCTCTGCTATACAATGACAAAACCAGAGCAAGGCTGGACCATTTGCCTACCTCAGTAGCAAGCTGATCAAAGGTATCCCAAAGGAAATCTCCCATTGAAATAATAGGCAAGAAATTCAAACAGTTATGATTTCTTCACACATTGACTTCCAAGTAGAACCAAATTAAACTGTATGCAGATTCGATCCAGCAATTTATTTGATCTAGCCAAGTCAAACCAAGTTTAAGGTGGCTAAATGAGTTTTTAAGAGTTTGTAGAAATAGTAGTGTAAAGAGTACCCTCCCACGAGGCAAATATATCCCTCTTGGCTCAAGTAAAGATGGGGGAAATGGTGTGAGCATGCCTTGCTTGTCTGTTGTAGCCAGCTCACAGCACATTCTATGTGTTTGCCTGGCTGTCTATTGTTTGAACAAGGACATGTTGCAGATAAAGCTTCCGCTACCAGCTGAGGGAAAAAAAAACTGATAATGGGTAGCTTTTTTTGGATTGTTTGGATTGAAACCAGCAATTTACTCCAGGACGAGAGAGAGAAAAAAACCCCTCACTATTAGCAATGACTCCATGCCATTGGCTGTGTTGAGAGATGATTGACATTATGCTATAGTGAAACTTGACCAAATTACAACCTGTTGGCTTAACAGCAGCATGTAAGGAGATTACATGGGAGGTGAAGTAAACAAACAACAATTCCTCAGACTCTTAAAGAAAGAATGTGTGCAAGGAGTGTGCTCAGCAGTGGAATATTGTTCAGCTCTGCAAATTATTATATGTCCAGTTACAGCTTGTGCATATGGCTAAAGCATTCCAATCTGAGTATGCATTTAACACACGGAGCTACTCACTTCACCTGTTTCTAGGTAAGCAAATAATAGCTTGTGATGTCAGAATCAAAACTACTACACCCACTGAACCACCCATTTCAGTCTAATTATTATGTTCTCCTCCCATCTTTTCAACAGAGAAGGAAAATCAAACAGTAGCAACAAGATTTCAGCATTTTTGTACTTTTTATAAGGTTGACAGAGTTGGAGAAAGAGAATATTTATTGGTATTCACCATACAAACAATGAATGGGTTAACAGAGAACACAATTTGACATTTTATTTATTTTTATTTTATTTATATCCCACCTTTATTTTTATAGAATAACTCAAGGAAACAAACATATCCAACTCACCTTTTTCCACCCATTTTCCACATAACAACAACCCTGAGAGGTGGGTTGAGCTGAGAGAGAGTGACTGGCCCAAAATCACCCAACTGGCTTTCATGGCTAAGACAGGACAAACTCACAGTCTCCTACATTCTAGCCAGGTGCCATTTTCAATTTTTTCAATTGTTAAATTACTAGCATGCATTCCAAAAGTGTCCTTATGATTCTCTGTAAATTTAAGCCCTTAAATAAATGGGAGTGGATTGTTGATAGTTTACATCAATATATTTATACATCGTATCAACTTCTACAAAGAAATCATAAGACATCCAGCAAGCCATTTTTCATGTTAGGACTTTTTTTTTTTTTAAATGATTTTAAAAAGTTATTTTTTAAAAAAATCAATACAATAGATACTCCTTTTAATACTCCTCTCTGGAGTATTACAATGCAGTCTACATGGGGTTACCCTTGAAGAGTATTTGGAAGTTTCAGAATTTAGCTTGTGCAAACAATTTTGGGCACCCCAAGAATGGCACATGTAATACCCAGAAGGAGACAGGCAGTCTGTGAACATGAAATATAAACAAACAAACAAACAAATAAACAAATGAATAAATAATGCCTTTCCTGCATGAGTTGCATTGGATGAAAATTTGCCTCAGGTTCAATTCAAGGTATTGGTTATGCTATGGGACCAGATTATTCAAGGTACCACCTTAACTCCATCACATCAGCCCATCCCACCCAGTCAGACAGACAGAGAAGGCATGTTACAGAACCCTGTCAATTAAAGAATTTTGACTTTATCCAGGTCCAGGAAGAGAGCCTTCTGTGCTGTCTTCCCCATCCTCTGGAATATCCTCCCCCACCAAAGGTGGGGCAGCCCCCTCCCCCCACCACTCTCCTGGCCTTTCGAAAGAGTCTGAAGACCTGGCTTTGCCAACTTGTATATGGGTCTCACAGAGAGTTATAGTTGGTGCCACGAAGGTCTCCCTCCACCTTTTAACTTGTAATTGATTTAATCCTTGTTTTACCTGGATCCTTTTCCTGATCCATTGTATCTTTATTGATGTATTGTATCTTTTCTGAGAGTGACTACATTTGATAAATAAAAAAATAAAATAACATGTTAAAGCCCCTGTATACGATTCTTCTTTCTCTCCCCTCTTCACCCTATTGTTATTCACAGGACAATTTGGCTAAATTTAGAAATAACGACTGGCTCCAAGCCACAGTTTCTTGGGCAAACCATGACTTCAGCTTGCCTTCCTTTTCAAGCCTAACCAAACTGGTAATAGAATAAACAGAGAAGGGCAGGTAAACGTAAACAATGCAGGAGGTGGAGCACAGACTTCTGAATTATGTAATGATGCATGCAGGAGGTGGAGTTGTGGAAAAAGTTCAAACAATAACCTTTGGAATTTAAACTGAGCTGTTATAAGCATGTCTCCCTTTATTTTTGAAGTGCTGGAGGGTAAACTTTATTAATACAGTTAATTGTTACAAGAGGATCAATTACAAAAATAGGAACTGTCTTATCTCAGACAGAAGAATGTTGCAGCAGTTTAATAAGTACAAAACTACTTAGAAAATGACTTGGTTTCAAGGGTATTGTGTATGAGGGTCACTTTTCTGTGTGACGTGGGGCAGCAAAATAGCTTGTGTCACTGCTGTATAGCTACAGATGAAAAGCTGTAAATTGTGTCGCACACAAACACATATACACACACACAGAGGGAGAGACTCATACATGGGCATAGCTGACCAAGGTAGAAAGGACAAACCAATATTTAAAATAAGGAAAAAAAACTATTTTCAGAAGTTTATTGAGATATTTTACTTCCACTTCCAGTAACATAGTAAGTTAATTGTAATCACCTAACTCGCCTAACTTTTACCTGGATCCTTTTCCTGATCCATTGTATCTTTATTGATGTATTGTATCTTTTCTGAGAGTGACTACATTTGATAAATAAAAAAATAAAATAACATGTTAAAGCCCCTGTATACGATTCTTCTTTCTCTCCCCTCTTCACCCTATTGTTATTCACAGGACAATTTGGCTAAATTTAGAAATAACGACTGGCTCCAAGCCACAGTTTCTTGGGCAAACCATGACTTCAGCTTGCCTTCCTTTTCAAGCCTAACCAAACTGGTAATAGAATAAACAGAGAAGGGCAGGTAAACGTAAACAATGCAGGAGGTGGAGCACAGACTTCTGAATTATGTAATGATGCATGCAGGAGGTGGAGTTGTGGAAAAAGTTCAAACAATAACCTTTGGAATTTAAACTGAGCTGTTATAAGCATGTCTCCCTTTATTTTTGAAGTGCTGGAGGGTAAACTTTATTAATACAGTTAATTGTTACAAGAGGATCAATTACAAAAATAGGAACTGTCTTATCTCAGACAGAAGAATGTTGCAGCAGTTTAATAAGTACAAAACTACTTAGAAAATGACTTGGTTTCAAGGGTATTGTGTATGAGGGTCACTTTTCTGTGTGACGTGGGGCAGCAAAATAGCTTGTGTCACTGCTGTATAGCTACAGATGAAAAGCTGTAAATTGTGTCGCACACAAACACATATACACACACACAGAGGGAGAGACTCATACATGGGCATAGCTGACCAAGGTAGAAAGGACAAACCAATATTTAAAATAAGGAAAAAAAACTATTTTCAGAAGTTTATTGAGATATTTTACTTCCACTTCCAGTAACATAGTAAGTTAATTGTAATCACCTAACTTGCCTCCAAGGAAACAAATGAGAAACTGTGAGAGGGTTTTGTTTTGTTTTTTTTGTATTTTGGGTTTTCTTGGATAGTTATAGAGCAGGAATTAGGGTTATAGAGCAGGGGTGTCAAACCCATGTTGTCATAACAGAGTCATGTGACGTAGCGGAATTTTTCCCCCTTCGCTAAACCGGGCGTGGGTGTGGCCAGCATGTGACGCATTCGGCTCACGGGCCCGGGAGTTTGACAGCCCTGTTTTAGAGTAAGGAAGGGCTGCAGGAGTAGGAGAAATGTAGCTTTCACATCAGAACATCTAAAGATGACTAAACTCATCCTAATCAGGACCGAAAATAAGATGAAAGCAACATCATGGGGACAAAGCATAAAAAACATGTTGCTATAGCAAGTTTTTATACCATTATTAAGTTCAAGTGAGGAAAAATTTAAACTTTTTAGTGTAGCAAACTATATCCTTAACATCGAAGTCTGCATTATTTGGGATCCTTTCTGATCTAGGAAACTATAAATTACAACACATGGAAGTCAGGTTTTTTTCTCGCATTTCCCCCTCCAAAAAACACTACTCAGAATATTGGGGTGGGAGCTGGATCCAGTTTTTCCTTCGTTTCAGCTGAGTTTAAAGTCTCCTAAAAATAGATATTTTTTAGATAGATAAAATATCTATCTAATAAATATAAAAAGTAAAGGGAAGGCATTTTATTTTTCATTCTTCCGTAAACCCCTCAGAGTTCCAACTGCTTGTAACAATTTGTACAATATTGTGTAAATAAAACCAATTCATACATTGGGAGAGGGGGCTCTACCAGAGGCTTGTTTGCATAACCATGTACAGAGAAAAGAAATGTAAATGTAAGCCAAGATTGCTGGAACTGGAGAGGAAACAAAGGCAAGGTCTACCTATGTTCTTCCTTCTTGTTTTTGTTGTTGTTGTTTTTGAATGCTTTCCTTAGAAAGTTGCTCTTCAGTTAGGGAAAGCATATGAACCTGAGATTTGACAGTTCTCTCTCTCTCTCTCTCCATCTCCCTCTCCCCCTCCCTTTCTCTCCCTTCCCCCTCTCCCCTCCCTCTCTCCCTCACCCTCTCCCTCCCTTTTTCTCTCTCCCTCCTTCCCTCTCCCTCCCTCTCTCCCTCCCTTTTTCTCTCTCCCTCCTTCCCTCTCCCTCCCTCCCTCTCCCTCTCCCTCTCTCCCTCCCTCTCCCTCTCTTCCTCCCTTCCTCCCTCTCTTTCCTCCTCCTTCTCTCCCTCCCCCTTCCTCTCTTCCCTCCTCCCTCTCTCCCTCTGCCTCCATCTCCCTCCCCTCTCTCCCTCTCTTCCCCCCCCTCTCCTGATAATCTGAGCATTGGTTAGCAATTGACTCAGGTATAAAAGAACAGCAGGAACCCTCGAATGAAAAGGTTGTTTCTGTGACTTAAAAAAAAAAAAATCCCTCCCCAAGTCTAATCAAGGAATATCCTTACCCAACGGCTCGTTGTGCAAAAGGGACAAGGAGAAAGTTGGATTCCCGCCCGCCCTAAGCGTGAAGGGCCCCGCCTCTCCCTTTCTCTGCCCCCTGTACCTCCTCCTCCTCCTCCTCCCTCTCCCCTGTACGGGGAAGCCGAGAGACGTCAGGCCGGACCGGAGATTAGCAGGCGCTTTAAGTGGATTAGAAAGCAACAGAGGCGAAGAGAGGAGAGGAGAGGAGAGGAGAGAGGAGAGGCGAGAAGTTGGCGTAAGAGGCGCCGCTTTGCGAGTTGCTTTCAGCCGGCTGGCCAGGCGCGCTCCCTCGTCCGGCTTTTCTTTCTGGCTTGAAGAGCCCCGCCATGCCCCAGACAGTGGCTCTGAACGGTCCTTCGCCATGGGGGTTCCGTCTGGTCGGAGGGAAAGATTTTAGCACTCCGCTGACTATTTCCCGGGTAAGTGTGTGAGGGAAAGCCGCGTCTCTCTCTCTCTCTGCGCGCTGGCGGGGGATGGATGGAGGTTGCAGAAGCGCCTCAGGCGACCGAGGCGGGAATTGGCACTTTTCGGCACTCGCGTCGTTGCGCCGTCTTGGGCAGACTGGTAGAGGGGGGGGAAAGAAGAAAAAGAAAGAAAGAAAGCTGGCGGGCCTAGATGCCAGGAAAGCACGTTTGTACCCGCCTGGTTTCGTTCAAAGGTTATCAGGGGACTGTGGGTGGCTGTGGGTGGTTTTTAAAAAAAAAAAAAAAATAGTAGCCTTTGTCGATCCGCATCCTCAAGCCAGCACCAGGCACCATTACAGCAGCCCGTGGCAACCTGGAAAGCCCCAGCCAGCCAGCCAGCCCGCCAAACAGAAAAGCGGCGATGCACTTCAAAGGCCCCTCCGGGGCTCTTGTCGACCCTGCGGGAAGCACTTGTTGCTGGCCGGCCAGCTCTGCGACCTGGCGCTCCTGCCGTTGCGGCTTTTCGTCGCTTTGAGGCGAACAAGCGAGACGAGAAACAGGAGGGCGCCCGGGTGTAAACGCCCCTGCGAGAGAGAAAAGATGCTTGGCGTGCGATTTTAGCCAGATTCCCTCAGCATTTTGGATGCTGAGAAGAGCCGTCTCAGACCTGCGAGGCGCTGAACTTTGGGGCAGTTCCTTATTTATTTATTTATTTATTCCCACTCCCGAGCCTAGGCTGGAAAGGAAGACTTTAAAAAGAGAAAGCGAGCCGCTGAGTGACTAGAAAAGGATGGGATTAGAGTTTAACAGCGCACGGTGGTTGTTGTTGTTTTAAAAAGAAACGTGCAAGCAAGTTTCTTGGAGAGAGGGAAATGAAAAGTTCGCAGGAAACGGACCCATCAATATAAGTGGATTGATAGAAAATGTTAATGCAGGGCAAAGAATTACGCTGCCTATTTTACACACACACACACACACACACACACACACACACACACACACACACACACACACACACTTCTTGGGTCATCACATTTGGGAAGGCAGAGAATTTTCCCCTGGACTTATTAGTCACAGAAATTATTGTCCTATGTATAATGAAATCATTTCCTAAACTGCTTTAATTTCTCACAGGCAGATCCTAGGTGTGATTACTACAACTACAGTTTTCCCAAAAGCAGTGGGAAAATAGGTTGGGCAGTTTAAGCATATTTAATAGGCAGTGTCAAAATTCAGTGGCATTTTTTCCTGAGAAAGATAACAGGATCACATTGCACAATTATCCATTAAAATAATTAGTGTTCATTATTAAGATGCTTAATGTACATAATAAACAAGTACTGGTCATGACGTTTTGTTTCTGAATGATTTTTGTGAAAGTTTGTTCTCTCATGATGAAAGTTAAAATGAGTAATGATCTGGTCATTTTAATTTTAAATGTGCATGATTTTACAATAATAGCAACAGAATACAGCATATTATCCAGTACAGTATAGACCTGGCACTATGGGAAAGTTACCATATAATCCTTGAGTTCTTTTTGAGAACTTTTAAGAACTTTTCCTTATTTTTAAGGAAAACTAACACTGAATCAACTGAGTACACATATATTTGATTGCAAAAAGTGGATTTGAAAAAAGTCTGAGTAAGGATCAGTAAGAACCTATGGCAAGAGAAGCTAATAGCAAAAGGAGCTCAAAAGCAGGAGAAAGACAATAAATTATAGTCACAAACTATTCCAATGCAGAGAAAAAATGGAGGATAGCAAAATAAGCCAGTATGACTACATTAAAAAGTTAAAGGGAGATTTGGGGAGGGGGGAGACAAATACAGAAAAATGAAAGAACCAGATCACAAAAGAAGAGCAGGTACCCCAGAACTGTACTGCTGATAACTGGAAAGCCAAAATTCAGAATTAGCTGAAATTAGCAAAAAAAAAAAAAAAAAAAAAAAAGTTAAAAATGAAACAGGGCTTCTTCAGACTGGTTTAAAATCAATCCCTATAATAGCTGCCCAATGAAGAAGGAAAAATGCTCATAAGTGACAAAGAAGGGGCAGAGCTATTTAACTCCTGTTTTAGTTCAGTCTTCAACAAAACTATGAGTTCTACTTAGGAAGAGCAGAATGAAAGGGCAGGTTTGTATTTTAGACTGACAGCAACATTATTAAAAAATCCCTTTGAGTTTAACTTTAGGACTAGAGTAATTGTAGAGTACTATATTAAAGGAAGTAGCTGGTAGTCTGGTTGAACTCTCATCTATTATATGTGACGATTCTTGGAGAATGGATACTGCCAAGCAACTTGACCCATGATGTTAAAAAGGGTCAAAAGAAAATATAGCAAACTACAAACCAGTTTGTAGATTCTAGAACCCATCAAGGGTGAGCTCAGCAATTTAGAACCAATCATCAAGAGATGGATCTACAGTATAACCTATATCGAAAACAATGCAGTAACTACCAGGAGTGATTTGTTGAGAACAAATTGTGGCAGATTAATTTGAGCGATTTTTTTTTAATTTTTTTAGATCAAACATGCTGGATAGTGCAGCAATCAAGTGGTTGCTTAACAATATGTTTTGAAAATCATACATAGATTGCAAGCCATCAATGGCTCCTTGCCAAATTGGAAAAAGATAGTGGGTGTGGGTGCCATAAAAATATTTTAGGTAACCTACTTTTCAATATTTTATTATTTATTTACTTACCATATTTATATAGCCACCCTTCTCACAAACACATACCTCTGGGCTGAGTACAATACAACAATAGTTAAATGCTTCCACAAGAATCTAAAACCAGCAAACCAAAATAAAATAAATATAAAGTAATCATGCAAAATAAATATAACAAGCAAGTAAAACCCAAGAAACCAGGAAAGCAAACATTATTTAATCTCATAGAGCTGCCTTGCACCCTGGGATCCCCAAGGCTGATGAAAAAAGCATGTTTCAAGGGCATTCTTGAAGAACCTCAACTCAGGGAGAATGATGTTCCAGAGTGTGGAGGCTACAGCAGAAAAGAGTTTTGCCAGCTGGAACTTGTTAGGAGATGGAACTCACAGCATACTACTCCTGCCTGATCCTGTTGTAGCCCACCAGCAGCCAGCAGAGATGGCAGCAGATTTGGACAGTAAGGAGGTTGGGGAGGAACGTGGGCCAGTCCTGGAGTCTGGGGAAGGCTCAGAGGATGGCTCTGAGTTGGAGGAAGAGAGGGAGCCAAGGCCATCTGATACTTCTTTGCTGCTTCCAGAGTCTGAGGCAGAAGAACAGTGTGAGCCTGTTCCCAGTGTGCACATGCGCAGAGCTGCCAGGAGACAGGAACAATTAAGGAAACAGGGTCGACTTGGGAGTAAGACTTGGAGATGAATGGCCCCTCCCATAAGACATAAAAGAGAAGCAAACCGGGACATGAACTTTTTCAGGAAGCAATTAGTTCATCTGACTGATTCAAGATTTGAAAATTCTGTTTGTGACTCTGTGCCAAGTTTGGCCTTGCCCTGAGTCTGGGCCTTCTGGACTGTAAATGAAAGTAATTTACAGCCATATGAATTAAAGAGGTTTGCCAGGACTAAGTTTGTGCTGTTTAATTTCTAAGGAAGCCTAGGTGAAAACAGATCTGCTGTTTGATTGAGAACGTAGAAGAAAAGTTTATTAAATCTGCAGATGATATAAAGTACCCTAGAAGAGGTGAATGGCATTTCAAACAAACTTGATAATTTGGAGAAATGGGCAGAAAGTAATGGAATATTTAATATTTAATAATGACAAGGGCAAATTTCTTCGCTTAGGGAAAAAGAATCAAATCTGTGTAGTAATGGATTATACAAGTAGTCCTCAACTTATGATTGTGATGGAGCCTGCCCATTACAGTCATATGTCATGGTGGTCATTAAGTGAGGTATCCATGTGATTGCCATGCTTAATGACCACAATTTCTGCTCTCCCCATTGCAGTCCTTAAGCAGAGCACATAGTGCCTCTGGTAGTGAAGGCCCTAGAAGTCCTAGTGTGGGTGCAGGCCTGCACTATGTGGTCATTAGGATGACCACATAAATGATTTAATGGCACATATTCATTCATCATAAAGATAATTTGCTACAAGTAGTCCTCAACTTTCAACAGTAGGTTTAGTGACCATTCAAAGTTACAACAACACTGAAAAAAAATGATTTATGACTATTTTGTATGACCACTCATGATCATTGCAGTATCCCCATGGTCATATGATTTATATTCAAATGTTTGGAAACCGACTCACATTTATGTCGGTTGCAGTGTCCTTTTGTGACCTTCTGACAAACAAAGTCACTGGGGAAACCAGATTCACTTAATAACAGTGTTACTAATTTAACAACTGCAGTGATTCAGTTAGCAAACATGACAAGAAAAGTCATATAGTGGGGCAAAACTCACTTAACAAATTTCTCACTTAGCAACATAAATTTTGGGTTCAATTGTGGTTGCAAGTCGAGGACTTCCTATATATACAATTTATTTATATTATATACTTATTCATTTGGAAAGACTAAAAAAAGTGACTTGTAATAATAATAACAGTTACAGAGTGGGAAGGGACTTTGGAGGTCATCTAGTCCAACACCCTGCTCATGCAGGAGACCTATACTAGGGATTTGAACCACCAAGCTGCCAATCTTTCTGATCGACAAGCTCAGTTGAGTAACTCCATTCCGGTGTGGGATTGAATTTTACTTTCAGCAACCCAACTGAAATTCAGATGCAGAGAGAGAAAACATGACAGATCTGAGCATGTCACAATGGTCACATGCTACGGATATTTTAATACAAAGTTAATGTTAATTAGAGATGAAAGAAAAATAGTTATTTTGAAGGATCATTTTAATCTGTAATAAAAAAAAACTTCTTTGACTTTTTTCCTCAAAAAATACTTTGTAAAATGCCAGAACTAAGCTTCTCCATAAATACAGTTCCATAAACATCACGTGTCTATGTGTCCCAATGAACAAAGCTCAGTTTTTATTTGAACAGATAACAA